ACCAACAAAATGAAAAGGCAACATACCTAAAGGGAGAAAATATTTGCAAATCGTATGTTTCATAAGGGGTTAATATCCAACATATGTAAAGAACTTATCCAATTGAATAGCAAAAAACCAAAAAAATCTGATTAAAAAACGGGCAGAGGATCTGAAGAAGAAATACAAATCACCAACAGGTACATGAAAAGATGCTCAACATCACTAATCATCAGGGAAATGCAAATCAAAACCACAACAAGATATGACCTCACACCTGTTAGAATGGCTATTTTCAAAAAGATACGAGATAACAAGTGTTGGTGAGGATGTGAAGAAAAATGAACGCTTGTGCACTCTTGGTGGGAGTACAAATTGGTGCAGCCACTATGGAAAACAGTACAGAGTTTCCTCAAAAGTCTGAAAACAGAACTACCATATGATTCAGCTATCCCCATCTGGGTATTTATCTGAAGTAAGCGAAATCACTATCTTGAAAAGATATTTATACCTCCACATTCATTGCAGCATTATTTACAATTGCCAAGACATGGAAACAACCTAAGCATCCATCAACAGATGAATGGATAGAGAAAATGTGGTGGATATATATATATATACAATTGAATATTGTTCAGCCATTAAAAAAACAAGGAATTCCTGCCATTTGCAACAATATGAATGAAACTCGAGGGCATTATGTTAAGAGAAATAAGTCAGACTCAAAAGACAAATATTCTATGATGTCACTTATACGTGAAATCTAAAAAAAAAACTGGACTAATAGATACAAAGAACAGATTGGTGGTTTCCAGAGACAGAGGTTGAAGGGGTGGGCTAAATGGGTGAAAGTGGTCAAAAGTTGCAAACTTCCAGTTATAAGATAAATAAGTCCTGAGATGTTATGTACAGCATGGTGACTATAGTGAACAGTATTTGAAAGTTGCTAAGAGTAAATGTTAAAAGTTCTCATCACAAGAAAAAAACATTTATAACTACATGTGGTGATGGACATTAACTAAACTTATTGTGGCGATCATTTTGCAATGCATACATACATCGAATCACTATGTTGTACACCTAAAACTAATACAATGCTGTATACCAATTATACCTCAATTGGAAAAAAAGATGATTGTGGAAACTATGTTCTGTGAAGAATGACTATTGGTACATAGCCTCGAGAAGGAAAAATGTGGGTGCTGAAATATGGAAGTATAGATAAGCTTATTCTAAATTGCTCTGTAATACCTCAGATTTCTCACCTGTAAACTGATAGAATGATCGGACATTTCTCACAGGGTTATTGTGAGGCTTAAGTGAGTCACTGTTTGTTGAACACTTAGAATAGTTCCTGGCATATAGTAAGCGCTATAAAAATGTTAGCTACTGTTATCATTTTTCTTCCTCCAAAGTGTTTAACAAGGACCAATGATGCACATAAATAGATTTTTCTCTGTATAAGAAAGAGCTTCATCATAATTAGAACTTTCCAACCTCTCTAAATAGTGAAATGCCTCACCTGTCAACTTATATGCCTCCAAGTCAGAAACAGAGTATTCCAGTCTTGAGAAGGTCAGACCGCATAACCTCCCAGACTAAGGAGGGAACGCTGATGAGCTGACCACGGCCATAAGCATAAATGGCAAAGTGCCTTCGAAAGTCACCCTTGAGCACACTGCACATATTTGCAGGAGTGTCAGGAGCCTTCTTTGTTCCCCTCCCGTGGCTATGAGCTGGAATTACTCATGCATTCAGTCAGTAATGTCTTCACGTTGGTGAGTATGTGTACACGGTGAGATTTATGACCATATGGACAGAATACTGAAATTAGGATTCCTCAGACATAAAGAACAATGAGGGCACAGGTCCAGGAGAAAGCCACAGGAAAACAGTCAGGCATTGACAAAGTGTTCACTTCACAAGTTTGTCTGAAATACCCTCCTTTGTAGAGGCTAAGCAAATGCACTAGTTGGGGAATATGTCACTGAAAGCAAAACATCCCTAATCTGCCTGGAAAGTTCTGATCATCCATGGGAGAAAGCCAACAAGAGTACCTAACAATATTTCATTCCACCTAGAAAATCTACAGAGGGACATAGAGGACTGCTACGTGTGGCTGTATGTCATTTTGTGTGCCTGTATATATTTGGGTTAGTAAGAACTTCGCAGAGACTATGTCAATTTTCATATTAAAACACTTATATTGAAAGGAATGACGTAAGAGACACCAGGATTCTGTACAGCACTAAGAAAGTGAGCCCAAATAATTCTTCACAAAGGAAATAGTCCATGTCATAAATTCAGTAGTTACACTAAAGTTGTGAATTCCAACTTAAGTTAGCCTAAATTTTACTGTCTCAAACTAATCAGTTACTTGCACATGGAAAGCTCTCAAAGCCATTCTCTCACATCCTACATTTGGCAAACACCATAACATGGAACCCAATGATGATTTCTACATGTAACACCTGTAAATTTTCATCTAATTAAACAACATCTACTATATATTGAGTAATGTAGCAGAATCCTTGATTGCTAAAAACAAAACCCACTCTGGACAGTTGACGCGTTAGATAAATATCTTGAAGGACGTGAGGTAGTTTGCAAGGTCTTGGGGAGGGCCAGAAAGTCTGATACGCAGTAAAAACAGTGTCCAAACTCTTTGAGAAACTCTCCCCAAAATGCAGGACATGTGTGGAATTGTGAGAGAAGGAGAAAGGCAGGAAGGAAGAATTAGGGATTCATTAAAAAAAGTAGACATTAAGGCATCAACGTTGTGTAAAATGCAAGCTCTTTTCTTCTGCTGGACATTTCATTCATAAACTCAACTGTTAGAGCTGGTGCCTTTGGAAATAATTAAGTTGAAAGTAAAATGTGAATATACCACAGTGAAAGCAAAATCTAAGGAGACGCCACAGCTCCAAGAACGCAGATGCTGCTACACTGAGACACTATCTGAAAACTTCCAGTTTCAATTCAGTCCAGAGGTACAGATAGCTGTGAACAGAGAGTCCATTTGTTTGGGTTGTAATTATGGCTTTTATTGGAGTTTAAATGAGCTAAGCAATATAGACACTAGAATTGTGGCTGTCATTGTAACTGAGAGGCTGACACAACGGACTGTGAACCCGGACTCAAGTGTTGGGCTTAAGGCCTTTAGGACTAGGCTGAGTCAACGCCCCAGCAACATGGATGATACATAAAGGAGACAACACAGAGCTACTCCTCCTTCCTTTGCCTAACAAAGATGAGGGAAGTCATATCATTGCTACCTTCCATTATCAGTTCCCAATTTTCTACAGGAGCTATTTAAAGCAAAAGATAAATCAACGTTGGGATAAAATTAAAATCCTAGCTTTCTGAATTCTTCCATTAGAAACTATGAGTCTTATTTACCATGTGATATTTGCTGAAAATAGGGATAAATTCCTTTTTGTCAAGAGAAAACTGAACATTCTTTCAAAAATAGCTTTGGTGATAACTGATAACTTGTATGTTTTATGTTTTGGTTAAAATATTTTTCAGATAAAAGTAGTTATACAGATGGAGAAAGTATTTATTAGAAGAGGAAAACAGTCTTTCAGACTAAGTGTCAAACATTCTACAGGAAAAAGCAAAGTCCTATTGTTCACCACCCAATTTCCTTAGTACATAATAGCACTTGATGATGCCAAACTTCAATACATGAGAAAAATTAGGAATAAGTCCTATATTTGGAAATAATTTGAATTCTCCATTATTACTATAAATAATAACCAAGTAATACGTTATCATTTCAGAGAATTATAACTTAGATTCTCTCATCCAAGTAATATTTCCAAGGAAGTAATTGCAGAATATTATAAAATCTATAGGAAAGTATCATACAAAATTATAAAGAAAAATGGTCAGGGTTTGCAGAACATTTTATTTTTAGAAAATACTTGTCAACAAAAATAATCCACAACCAGTCTATAAATGAAAATTTGGGTGAGTTTATTCTGAGCTGAAATCTGAGGACCATGGCCTGGGGCCTTTCTTCCTGAAGGAAGAAAGGGCACCAAAGAAGTGAGGTATACAGAGTGGTTATATACCCCCACACAGGATGTTTCACATATGATTGAAATGTCCCTCCCACAATAGTCACAAGATTGCCCTGTCGGCACAGCGCTTGATGGACACAGCAGGTAGTGGGTCTGCTCTCTCGGAGGGCGGGCATAGCAGGAGGCAAGTCTGTTGTCTCGAGCTGGGTGGTCACAGGTGAGGGCAGCAATCAGTTCCTAGCCTAAGGAAAGATGCTTAATCCTTAAAGAAATGCCAACGTTGGGAGGGGGAGGGAAGTTGCACCTTTATCTCAAGGGCCTTTGCTCTTGCCATAGGGAATCTCTAAAGCAGATATACAATGCATGCTCAACAGCCACAGTCAGGCCCTTTTGGAAAGACAAGGTCAGGCCGAATTAGGTTTACACAAAATGCCTTCCTCATATACCCCAACATATCCTATTATTTGCCATTTTTATTTGTCATACTAAACAATCAACTGAAAAACTATCAGGTATTCAATAAATTATGAGATACTTTCCTATAAACCAGCAAGAACAAATTTGAAAGGTCCATGGCAAAAGATCCCATTTAAAATCAACCACAAATACTGTAAAATGCCAAAGAATGAATATGAAAATAAATGTGCAAGAGCTAACCTTCAAAGAAGTTACAAAACTTTGCTGAGGGTCATAAAAGAAGACGTGGATAAATGGAGAGATGTTTTGGTGTATTGTCCACTTGATAAGCTGATTCTAAAGTTTACCAGTAGGAATATACATGAAAAAATATGTATCATTAAGAAAGAGCAGTAAGAGAGGCTTATTCTAGATACCAAAATATATGATAAGGGCCGGCCCAGTGGCATAGTGGTTAAGTTAACACACTCTGCTTTGGGGGCCCAGGCTTCGCTGGTTCACTTCCCAGGTACAGACCTACACACCACTTACCAAGCCATGCTGTGGGAGGCATCCCACATACAATAGAGGAAAATGGGCACGGATGTTAGCTGAGGGCCAATCTTCCTCAGCAAAAAGAGGAGGATTGGCGGCAGATGTTAGCTCAGGGCTAATCTTCCTCAAAATAAAAAAAGTTTGTAAGAGTTTAAAAAATCAGCATAGATATACAACTTGTGTATCCCCGCCACGCCACTAGACTGCACTACTTGCACACAAGCGCCGTCTTTTTCAATTTTTATTCCCCAGTGCATAGCATAGTTCTTGATATCATAGAAGAAGCTTGATAAGTATTTGCTGAATGAAAATCAATCTTAACCTATTTCCCAGAAAACATATGCCAATTTTTTCTTTATATTTACCCCCACGAATATAAATGGAATAAATCCCACATGTAGATTTATTTGAATTATTTAACAGTGAATATATACATTTCGTAATCTTCATACGATTCTGAATACTTGTGAGTAAATTCTCATATGATTTAACACAGCTGTACCTATTAGGAGATATGGATCTATCATTTCAAGTTAATTCTTCGGAACTTCATTTAATACACAGAGGAAATTTGGAAAATTTCTAGGCTGTTAGACTAGTTTGATTAAAGTTGGTACATTTCCTAGCAATTGATTTCTAAAGCACAGTAACAATAAAACAGGAATGAGTGAATGAATGAATGAAATGTGTTCATGTTTATCTTCTACATTGGCCAGATTTAATAAATTCAATATATCAACGAAGAAAACCCAGAAGTCACAGGCAGGAACCAAACCGAAAAAGATAACCAAAGAGCCAGCTGACCTCACACAGAAGTTTGCCAAATCTTTTAGGTTTCCAGCTGGTAGAAATGAATAAGCCTTTCTACATTGCAAATATGATATTTTCAACTATAAATAAAGATTGCAGGTAGTATAATTCACATCCTATGTCTGGAACGTGGAATGTCGTTAGTGCATTGTGCTCAGCCTTCCACGGTGATAAATTCTCCTCCTAGTTTGTCTAGTTAGCTGGACTTCTCCCCACTGGTACAAACTGCTCATTTAATCTGGCAAACCTTACTCCATAACACGACCTTAGTGAAAAATGAGAAGGGTCAGAAAGAAAGAATACATTAGCAATGAATCAAAGTACATTATCTACCCCTGGTAGATAATAATGATGACAAAGCTAACACACACCGAGTAGTTTGATAGCTAGTTGTTACTATGTATTAGGCAATATACCAAGCACCATATATTAACTAATTTGACTCCATATAAAATATTTTTATCTCCACTCAAGAGATGAGACAACAGATGAGGAAACTGAGGCAGAGTGGTGGAGCTGGTACATAGCATTTTTTTGCAGAGTTTACACTTGAGTCAGTGCTAAGTCAACGATGCACATGTATCATATTTAGGTGTTTGTGAACAACTAGTGAATGTTAAGAAGTTCGAAACTTTGTCATGGCCCATTAACCAATTAGTTCAGTGAATGTAGCTGTAAATAGCTACACATCTTTATATACCTTTGTGTGTGTGTATGTGTGCGTGTGTGTATCCATGTATGAACGGGGTCATCAACTTAGAAAGGTTTTTCTTTTTGAGAGTGAAGGTGGAGGAGCTAATGATGCTGGGCCATAACAGAGATTAAGGTGTCCGCTGACCGATCTGCCCTATCTTTTCCTTCCCTTTCTGTGTGACGTGCCCCATGTGGCTAAGAAAAGGCCCAGCAGCTGTGCCAAGATGGTGGACTACATTTATCTCACGTAGAAATTATTTTCCCCAACTGGCATCATGAAAGAGGACTTCTTTTTATATTTTGTTGCAGAACGAGTCTTTCAAATGAACACATCTTGAAACTCAATTAAATCAAGAGTATTATATGTTGGAATCATGGCTACTTTCCCTAGTAAAACAGGAGGAAAGTTGAGTTGCTAAGTCTCATAAATGGATATACTAATGTCATCGGAGCCAAGAAGCAACATATCACAATGCCTAAGAACATTGGCCCTGGAGGAAGACAGCTTGGCTTCAATTCTACGAGCTGTGGTCACATCCTTAACTCTGTGCAAACATGCATCATCCATAAAATCAGGGTAAAGTTTAACCTGAAACACAGAGAATTAGATAAGTATACGTATATCTACTCAATATAGCACTCAAATTAAAGCCTGGCATGCAAGACATACTCACCTGCTGTTTTATAGATAAAAATATGCCTACATTTTCCTTTATGGCATTTCTAATCTCTTAACCTTTGTAAGGACTCTGACTGCTCATTAACCTGTAGCCAAGAACCTCCTGTGTTTGGAGATTTGTAAGAATGGAACATTAATATAAAAATTTGAAGTGATGTATTATTTCTATTTGTGTCTGTCATTAACATTCCTAACTTATCCTGAAGTAAAGTTTAAACTCTGATAGAGAATCTTTGAATTCAGAAAGTTTGATATCTAGTTGATACCGAAGACTTTATATCATATATTTACAATTAATGTTTTTCCTAAAATAAAAATATGCTTGTATTGCATTTTTTTTCAGTGTGGGTATTATAGAGAGGACATCTCCATGTACGGATTTTAACTAGCATTTGTATCAAGGAACCCTTAGAAATATTGCCTAGGAAATCTGAGGTTTATTGGGAAACAAATTTAAAATATTTTTAAAATGATCTAGTAAGTTCACTGTATCTCTTTTTGCTTTTTATGGAATTTACATAAAAAAGGATTATCAAAGAACAACTGCCTACAAATGTCAAATATTTAACATATCTGTAATTATAATTAATTCCAACTAAATACCTCACATTATGCACAGTTCATAACGTTCATACATACATGAACATATACAATATGCAGTATAACATGAAAAGAATAGGAGAATTCAAAAATAGAACCAAAGACTCCAGGTCCAGGTAAGATGCAGTAAACACACTGCACCCTGTCTGCCCTGTCTGTCCCGCTTCCTGTAGCTATAAAACCTGGACTGGACAAGGAGCAGCTTTTATTTATTTTTTTTTGAGGAAGATTAGCCATGAGCCGACATCTGCTGCCAATCCTCCTCTTTTTGCTGAGGAAGACTGGCCCTGAGCTAACATCCATGCCTATCTTCCTCCACTTTACATGTGGGACGCCTCCCACAGCATAGTGTGCAAAGCGGTGTCAAGTCTGCACCCGGGATCCAAACCAGCGAACCCCAGGCCGCTGAAGCGGAACGTGTGAACTTAACCACTGCACCACCGGGCCGGCCCCTAGAGCAGCTATTTAAGGACTCCGAAAATGTCATAGTAGAAGACAGATTAAGTGAAAACTCCAAGCACTTTTGTTTATGTGGGTTTTATCTAGTGATATTTACCGTATTAAAAATGAAAACTAAGAAATTGTTAAAACAAAAAACACAAGCTCACCTTTCATTAGCTAGCAGAGAGGTGATGTCATCAGCACATATCACAAGCCTCTGGAAATTTCCACCGTGCACTCATTTGAGAAAGAGTGAAAAAGGCAAATAACATCTTAGTAATATAGGCAATCGTTTTGCCCACACTTTGAGAACTACTGCCCTGTGACCAACAAATGAAGGGCAGGTATTGTTCTGATGCACGTGCGAAACAGTCACCAAATTGTAAAACAAAGTATCTTTGGACAAATATTTCAAAAACTAATTTCATACTGAAAATAAAGCAAAAAAAAAAAAAATACTCCAATGAAAGGTTAGACAAAAAATGCTTAGAAATTGAAAAGACATTTCTAAGCTATACAGACACGTGTCATTTGATGTCTTAGCCTCAGCCCTGGTTCCCAGCTCTCCATTCACAGAGGACTGTGGCAGAGTTAAGGATACCAGCCTCATGCTCTGCCACTACCCTTTACACTTGGGCTTACATTGCCATTGAGAAAGAACTCACTTTAATAACTTAGGTATTTATATGTAAGAGACTCTTTACATCAAACACACCTAATTTTTGGACCAAATTCAATCCTAGCAAGGCCATACCTGGGATAGCGGAGGTGACCAGCATCAGTACTCAAATTTCCTTGAACAGTCTCAACTCTTCCAGAGTTCCAGAGAGAAACTCTCTGTCAAATTTCTTGTTACTCAAGGAATACTCTGGAAAAGATAAATTGTTCAGCATTCATTGAGGACCATCTGTGAGAAATCATGAGATATTTACAGCTATTAAAAATTATGTACTTATAATTGCATATATTACTCTGTCCAGAGTAATATTTTTGAAACATGTAGGAAAAAATATGTAGATTGCCTTGATTTTGCAAGTTAGCACTAATTTCTAATATTTAAAAGACTTTCCAGTAAAAATAATTTACCTTATTTGGCTTTAAACATGTCAGGGCCTGAGAATTTACAACATTCAAATAACAAGTATGATTTTTTCAAAGAAATTTTACTTCATTAGAAAAATATAGGGGCCAGCCCCATGGCCAAATGGTTAAGTTCGTGCACTCCACTTTGGCAGCCCAGGATTTTGCCAGTTCAGATCCTGGGCACGGATATGGCACCGCTCATCAGGCCGTGCTGAGGCGGCGTCCCACACAGCACAACCAGAGGCACTCACAGCTAGAATATACAACTATATCCTGGGGGGCTTTGGGAGAAGAAGAAGGAAAATAAAAGAAGATTGGCAATAGTTGCTAGCTCAGGTGCCAATCTTAAAAAAAGAAAAAAGAAAAATATATAAACTGTGGTTTTAGAATTTTAAAACATATGGACAAATATAACACACATGATGGAACATAAAATGGGTTTGTGCGATACTAAACTGAGGAATTTTAATTTGTGACTTAAAAATATCCAGAGATATTTTAGACCTGGCCATGGACTCCGGCAGGAAGGGATAGATTTGTCTCTTCAATAAACGGTGCTGGGACAATTGGATACCCACATCCAAAAGAATGAAACTGGACCTTTATCTTACACCATACACAAAAGTCAACCCAAAAATGATAAAAGAGTTAAACATAAGACATAAAACCCTAAAAACCATAAAACTCCTAGAAGAAAACATAGAGGAAGAGCTTTGTCAGGTTGGTCTTGGCAATGATTTCTTGGATATGACATCACAGGCACAGGAAACAAAAGTAAAAGTACTGGGACTACATTAAACTAAAAAAGCTCCTGCAAAGCAAAGCAAACCATCAATAAAACGAAAAGCCAACCTACAGAATGGGAGAAAATATTTGCAAACATATATCTGATAAGGGAGTAATATCTAAAATATATAAAGAACTCATATAACTCAATAGGAAAAAACCTCAAAACAATCCAATTAAAAAATGATCAGAGGAACTGAATCGATATTTCTCCAAAGGAGACATACAAAGGGCCAACAGGCATAGAAAAGATGCTCAACATCACTAATCACCAGAGATTACTAATGAAAATTCATCCTTTCGGTTAGGCTGCTCCTTCCATGAACCCACTGCTTGCCAAGACCTGAGAAAAATAGGATTCCCTTACCAAGTGGTTCTGAGTCAGGTTCACAGAATAGCATCATCAGCATCACATGGGAACTTGCTAGAAAAGCCAATTCTCAGGAACAATCTTTACCTACTGAGTCAGAAAAAGGTAGGGCTTCACAAATGGAGTTTTAACAAGAATTTCAGGGGATTCTGATGCACACTAAAATTTGAGGACCACTATTTTACCATGTAAAAGCAGATACTGAGTTTTGAGTAGGCAACTAATAGTTTATCTCATACGCAAATATTTTCTAATTAAAGATGGTACTTTTCTCCAGAGATCATAATAAAATGAAAACAAAAACAGTTAAAACAAACAAAAAACCCCAAAGCTGTAAAAATCACAAGGACAATAAAAATATGATCTGTACAGGAGAGAAAGAGATTTTCAACAAATTTGAGAAAATAGAGAGAGATGTGGTAACTATTTTGTAAGACATGGGAAGTTATAAAGTGTTTAAAGAGGGATATAAGAATACAGAAATCTAATTTACCTCCACAGCATCCCAGAGAGACTGAGGACAGTGATGCCAAATGAAGGGGGGGATAAAGTTGAGAATTAGAAATTAAAATGAGGAGTGCTTGAAAGCCTATATCCAGAAGTCTAATCACCACCCTCAACCACTACTCCACGGAGAGAACGCAGCAAAGCTATGCACCACCCTACACAAGCTGTAGGACATTCCTTCTGTCTAAAATGGAACAGAAATGCTTGGCTTTCAAAAACAACATTCACTGGGGAGGACAGATTGAAAAATAATTTTGAAAATGGAAGTTACTGGTTCTGTACAGTTTTCCTGCCACTTCTGCATCAGAAGTTCAGCAAGCAGGAAGCTAAATGCCAACCAGAAGCTTCTATAGGCACTGGTGATCGTGGGCATCTACTTTGACTACTGCATAAGTGTTAAACCCAAGATAAATTTCAGGCCCCTTCAAGAAGGAAAAGCCAAGAGAAGACCTCCACAAAAATCTGGGCTCATAGAGTTACCACCTTGTAACATGAAAGAGAAGTAAACGCCACCACAGAGGAGGCAAGAAGACAGAGGGGACTGGCCCCTCTTGGCCTTGATGAAAGATATATACATTGTTGCAAAATTCTGAACTTGTAAGAACAGCATCGATTTTGGAGAAAATGAAAGCATTCCTAGAAATAAAGAGGAACACTTTATAATGATAAAGGCTCAATTCACCAGGATAATATAACTACTTGTAGATTTTATCTAATCACATAACCACAAAATATATGGGAAAAAGTCAAAACAAGAAAAGATAAATCTATAATTAGAGTGGGAGATTTTAATGTTCCTCTGAATAATTAATAGAACAAGTAAACAAAATATCAGCTAAATAACAGCATGATTAAGAAATTGACTTAATAGAAAAAATAAAATACCATATGCAACAGCTGAGGAGTACATTTATTTTTCAAGTGATTATAAAATATGTACAAAATTGGCTGCGTACTGAAGGGCCATAAAGCAAGTCTCAAAAAATTTCAAAGATTGAAACCATTCACAGCATGTTCCTGAACCACAAAACAGCTATAAATAATGAAAAGATAACTAGAAAATCCCAACTTTCAGCAATTAGGAATAAATTAGTGCCAAGGAAGAAATCATATCGGATGTTCTGGGGTACAGCAGGCTTTCTGAAATAAGATGCAAAGCCCAGAAGTCAAAAGTGAAAAATACAGGAAAAAATGATTAAAAATGAAAACGATGGGGGCTGCCCGGTGCCCTAGTGGTTAAGTTCGCACACTCCAATTCTGCGGCCCAGGGTTTCCTTGGTTCCCATCCTGGGCGTGGTCATGGCGCTGCTCATCAGGTCATGCTGAGGCAGCGTCCCACATAGCACAGCCAGAAGGACCTACAACTAGAAGATACAGCTATGTCCTGGGGGGCTAAAGGGGAGAAGAAGAAGAAAAAAAAAAAGAAGAAGAAGATTAGTAACAGATGTTAGCTCAGGTGCCAATCTTTAAAAAAAAAAAAAAAAAGAAAGAAAGAAAGAAAAAAATATGTATGTATTGTGGAAACAACGTTAAATAACGTACAATCCAGAGACCCACTGGGCAAAAGAATTGTACCTTATTTAATAGAGGAGGGATTCAATCCACATTATATAGTGAGCACAACAAATCAGCAAGGGGAAAAACATCCCGATCCAACAGAAAACTCCGTATTGAATAGTATCAGACAGATAACAGAACAAAATGGTAAAATGTTCAGTAGTCAGATGAAAAATTAACTCAATATCACTAACATAAGAATTAACAGAAACAATAATAGGGTAACATTTGCCAATCAGAGTAGCAAACATATAGAAGTGATCTTCAGGAAGTACCCAGATGTGGTAAAACAAGCATTTTCAAACTTTATTGGCATAAGAACAGAGAGAGGTTTTCTGTAGTGTGTACAGAAAGATGCAAGGATGATGAGCAGAGCATAATTTGTAATTGTGAAACTGGAAACAAACTGCCCCTGGAAGGTTCGATCAACGATACAGTTCTGTATTGAAGACAAGGAGATTGCCAAAATGCATCGTAAGCTCAGAAAAGCATATCAGAGAACAGTTTGCAGAAAATAATCCTATTTATGTAAAAAACCACTATGTACATGTGTATCTACTCACGTATCCATAACAATATTCATTGAGTGCTTACTTTGTGGCAGGCATCACAGAAAACTTTTTGTATATTTTAACTTCCTAATCCTCATAAAAATCCTATGCTTAGGGGCCAGCCGGGTGGCACAGAGGTTAACCGTGCGCGTTCTGCTTCTGCGGCCCGGGTCACAGGTTCGGATCCTGGGTGTGGACATGGCACCGCTTGGCACGCCATGCTGTGGCAGGCATCCCACATATAAAGTAGAGGAAGATAGGCAGGATGTTAGCTCAGGGCCAGCCTTCCTCAGCAAAAAGAGGAGGATTGGCAGCAGTTAGCTCAGGGCTAATCTTCCTTAAAAAAAAAAAAAAAAAAAAAACCTATTTGTAGATACTAACTACCCTCATTAACAGATTAAAAAACAGGCACAGATATTGCAATTGGCACAAAGTCACAGAGATGAGACGGGATTTAAACCAAAGTGGCTTGGTTTCCTCCTTCCTTTTTCCGTCTTATTTTCTGTTTCCTTCTCTATTCCGCTCCCTTCCAACGCTCTTCTCTCCCGGCACCTCACCTCTCTTAGTAAACATCCAAATGTCTGCTAAGTAAAGGGGAGAAATGTAGGGGGTGCAGAAGGTCAGATTCGCTTTCCTCCATACTATCCTTTATTGTTTGGAGGATCTTGTGTTCCTCTCGTAACTAAAACATTAAAAGAAAAAAAAAATCACTGAATCCTTCAGTTCAGTTCCAGTCGAGGGCCTGGAAAAATTAAACACTCTAAACACAGCTGGTCGGTTTGACTCTTAAAAGGGGTTAACATCGTTTGGTGGAGAGACAGAGACAGAGACAGCAAGAAAGCGAAAGAGAAAAGGGACCATAAGGAAAAACGAGCTTGACCCCTGTCCCTTCCGAGCAGCCCACGCCCCCCTGAGAGGAAGAGGAAGTTCTCCGGCTTATAGGGCCGGTAACCCCACCCCACCTTCCCGGCTAGTAATTTCCCCAGGGCCAGGTGCTGCGGCCGTCCAGTGCGTCGCTGCGCTCCACCCAGGACGGAGCGGCTCTTCGCGGGGAGCAGCGGGCGGCGCGGCCGGAGCGCGGGCACCAGGTAGGCGCAGGCGAGCCCGCTCGTGCGCGCCCCATCCGGAAACGAAACCCGGAGCCGGGGGCTCGCCCGAGGTCGCTCCGAGTTTCCTGTGGGGGCAATTCCGGGGAAGATCGTGGAACGACCCTCCGGCCCCCCCCCCCCCCCAAGGCCGCCCGGGGTAGAGGATGGGGGCTGGCCTCGGGGAGCGACCCCGGAAGTGGAGCCGGGGCTCCTCTTAGGGTCCCAGCTGGGCCGGCGGTACCCCTGTCCAGTCCTGGGACCTTCCCAGCGACAAGGTTTGTCCTGCCTGAAACCGCCTTGCAGGCTCGACTTTGCTTAGTACATCTCTTATCGCAGCAGAGAGCAGCGCTGCATCATGGCAAGAACCTGGGCTGGGGGTATCTGCCAGCAGGTTGGGGGGATTAGAAGGGATGCTTACTAGAGCCTGCTAGCTGTAACATCTAACAGTATTAACTAGGAGTATGGCTGCAGCCCAAAACTGTGCTAGGCACCGTGGAACACCAGAATTGGGAAGATACAGTAGGTTTCTAGCAGAGAAGCTGAGAGTGTCAGCTTGGGAGCCCACCTGCCGGAGTTGATTCCTCCCTCTGCTCCTTACTATCTGTGGGCTCCCCGCCGGTTTCTTCCTCTACACCCCTTCCATGCCTGTCTCTGAAGTTGTGGAACGACTAGAAAGAGTTACAAGAATTACAGTCAGATATGTTAGGTTGACATGTGAGTTACAGGAAGATATGCATTAGTGTGATGTGTTTAGAGCCATGACTGGCACTGCAGAAAATACTCAGTTAACTTTTCCTGCTTTGTGACAAAGTTCCTAGTTTCCCAAGCTCACTATCTGGTTTCCTGTGATCTGATTTACAGAGTTATTACTGGAAGGCATGGCCTGGCCACTTCCCAGTTCCAGGTTTAGCAATAGGAGGTACATGGTTAGTACAAGTGTCGCTTGCATCATAGGAAGTGTCAGGTGATTTCAGGTACCAGTTTTTCTTCCTTGAACTTACTTAACAGCAGAACTTTCTCTTAATGCTGCCTTACACCCTTGTGGAAGGAAATGAAATAAAAAGTAAGTGAAAAGGGAAGTGAGTGGATTTCCACAGCTGGGTAGAGGAGTGCCATGTGAAGTGGCTGGTTGTGGACTGAGCAGCCTTTGCATCTGAGGGAGCTGTTCTTTCCAACTGAAAGGAGAGAAATAAACTGTACACACATTGTTGAATCAACGAGCACTGATTAAGTCTCTTGTCCTGGACAAGACAGGCAATGATCTCGCCTTCGAGAGCTGGAGAGCAGGTGGAGAGACATTGATGGTGCAAGAACTGTCCCCTGTACACCTCTCCACCTCATGTCTGATGATTTCTTCCTCTTTTGCTCTTTAACACACAGACCTCCGTTCCCTTGAATGAGTCAGGCTCCCTCTGGCCACAGGACTTCTACCTGTGTAGTCCCCTCTGCCCCTCTGGCTATAATGCCTCCCCACCACGCCACTCCCCCACACACACCACACACGCCTCCATGGCCTGGTTGGTTGAATTTAGACTT